CAGCGGTTTAACCCAGTGCACCATCGGGTTATTTTTGTGAATTATAATTGGTGAAATATTTTCAATTATCAGAAGGACATCAAGTTTAAATAGTATTATAGTAAGCTCCGAGACCTTAACTTCACTGGTTGACTTTGGTTATTTAAACCGTCAAATTCCCATTCAGTTCCCAAGCTAACCAAAGAGAGAATATTGCTGATGGAAAGCATTTAAATGTTTTGAAGTTCACAAGGCAGCCAACAGATGTTGAAGTTGAGCCCAAACTGCAAGCATTTCATTCTTACCTTTGTGAAGTAAGAAAATGTTCACCAAATTGAAAACATTTTGTACTTTTTTCACCCTCTTTACTTGCAGATTCTATGTCAGTGCCTTTCTGCTAAGATGTCTACCAGAATTGATCAGCATCTACCTTCAGTAATGCATACGCTTTTGAGTATGTGGCTTAAGGTTTCCTTTGGTGAGCTTGGATGGAGCAGCTCCATGAGACGTGAACTTCAGCATGCAGTGGAGATCTGAACAAAAGCCTGCATTGATTTCTTCGGTATGCATGTGTGTTACAGACACTGTGGAATCATGTATGGAGCTATCTTCAAAATGAAGTGAACTGAGGGGTGTGTACACACACACACTTGAAGAACGGTATTTTGTCTTTATGGAATGTTGGGTCCAAATAATTATATTTAACTACTACATTTATAAATTGCAGAATAATTTGCATTTTACTCCAGTATTCTTATTTAATAAATAAATACTTAGTGGTACGAGACTGGTTTCTCATTCATATGACCTTGGTTACAAACAAGGAAAAAAGTTCATAGTAAAAATAGAAGAGCTCTGTTCAGACCAAATAAACATATCTTCTATCAACTGACTATTTGCTTATTTCTAGTCATCTAAATATGTGTTTGGAGAATGCTATTTTAATTATAGCAAGCAAGGGGAAATATAACTTGTAGAAGTAGAACAAATCAGTGGAGGAGAAGTGGAGAGAGACATCTTGGTTGACTGAAGTGTGGGGGAGGAGTGCCCACCATGTTTCTGGGTGCAGCAGTAAAAGATTTGATGGGCAGGGAGAAGTGATAGTGATATATCATGAGTTCACCCTCTTATTGAGGTACCTTACAGTTTCCAAGGTTTGGGTGTAACAGGGTAGGGTTGGGATTCTGTTGCTGTATCATCTACCCCACTGTCCAGTTGTCTCCCTGGCCCAAGCTACTGAAGGAGGTGTTGTTCCCTCCACCACCACCCCGCCCCCATTTCCTATAAGCCAAAATTTAACATCTATGCTGAGTCCCCTTATTAGGGCTGAGATCCGGATTTCTAGCTTCCATGGTCTTGTATCCCTTGAAGATCTGGCTGTACTCATGTATCACTTTTCACTGGTAAGGATTATGGTGATGGGAAGGTTGAAGAAACTGAATAGCTCACAACGGAATAGGATTTAGATTTGCTGGGTCTTCGAGCCTGCAGGCATGGGAATCAATTCAAATGACCCTCCCTCAGAGACCACTTTATTCTGAAAGTTTCATGAATTTGGG